CGCTTCCATCTTGCGATTTTGACGTCATTTGGAGCCAGTAGGGTCCGGGGGCAGGAGCCCTGGTAACACGCCCCGCCCACTTAGCGTACTGCCCTGATGACTTACGCAGCCCAGCTACGCCGAAAGCGCTCTGCCGGTCTACGATGAAGAAATGTGTAAGTACAACAAACCACCGTATTCAAAGTCTAATATTTAAACACACTGTTTTAAAAAATCCAGTTATTTTGATCATTATTGAAAATACGTGGGCTGCTGGGTCCTCTGTTTTTGCCAAAATCGTTCTATATTTAAGCTATATTTAAGCTAGGTTAGCACCACAGGCTACAGGTGGTAAGATATGTTGTATTTTGTTAGAAACTGATAGTCTGCAATGTGATTCATGTCTGCTTTTCTAATATATTTAAATGAACAGTAATCAATGTTTTTTGTATTTTCATTTAGGCAAAGAAGAGATAAAAGCAGCTGGTCTGACATCTTCCACAGAGTGAAGTGTAAGTTAAAATCATCTGTTAAAAGTTTATATCCTGTGATTTTTTGAAGTTTCATAAGAGGATTGTCAAAACAAGCTATTGTTAACAATACAGTCTTCAAAAATAAAAATCACACTGAGTCATACACCAGCTAAATGTTAAATAGAAAGGTGATGTTTTCTTTTCCATTTTACAATCAACAGAACCTAAAAATGACTAATTTCAACCTTCATCTGTACACCTGTTACAGAGGTCAGGCTGAAGGTCACATAGTTTGAAGGAACCTCCTCCTTTTTTCACCTGTGCCAGATGCCCTGCTCATCCACTGTGGTAGAAATGACCTTACACCAGCAGCTCTCCCAGATGAAGAGTCCTCTCTGCCATCACCCAGAGGAGCTGATGGACGTCTGAAGAAGGTGGACAGAGTCTGGTGCTTTGTGACAGTGAACAGTGAGAAGGCTACCATAGTCATCCTCAGATAAAACACAGAGATCCAGGTCAATATTTAATTTATTTTTCTTTCCTTGATGTTGCCCTGTGTTTGAAAGGCCAGATGCTGGAGGGTTGTGTTGGATTTGCTTTTCCATCATATTTTAACAGTCAAACAATCATCCAGGATCTTTATACTTTATTTGATTTTTGTGTGGATTTCTTTGTTAAATTATTTTTTATACTTTCTCCTATGTCCCAGCAGTTCAACCTGATGGTCTCCCTTACTTATTTTCCACATGGTTAATGAAACCAGGGGTTGTTTATTGAAGATTTCTTTTCATAAAATGTTTAAATAAACTTTTTAAAAATCTGACATGTTTCTGATTAACTGGAGTACAACAACATGTTGGTCACAGTAAAATAATTTAGCAGTTAAGTTTATAGTTCACATTTGAAAAGTCCTTGAACTGACATTAATTTCTTGTTGACCAACAACAGCAAAGACAACAGCAAAGCTAACAGACGAGCTCAGCTGGTCTCGTCCGAGATAAATGGCCTTCAAACTTATTTAATATTAAACATTTAAAGCCAACAAGCATAGCAAGATACATATGAGATTCCATTTCCATTTATTCAATCACAGACTTGTCAAACAGTCTGGCATTTTGTGCTGCTGTTTTCAAGAGTTAATAACTGAAGAGAAGAAGTCCATCGAGAGGGGACAGGAAACGTTCAGGGGACGAGTCCTCCATGTTGTCAGGTGTTGCTGATGGATCTGAATCTGAGGGAATCTTCTGTAATAAAGAAGAACAATCATGGAGTTAAATGTAAAGTATAATGAATTTTACTGTGATGTTTATGCCTCAGACCTGAAATCAGATCTGTCCTCAGGTTCTGCTAAACTTCAGGTTCTAAAGTTTGTTTTTATGACAGGAGAACTATTTATGAGGAAAAACAAAATATATAATAAGACATGATGAATTCAATAATATGATCAGCTTTATGAATTTATGTTTTAAGACAAAAGTGTTCCTGCCACTGAAGATTATTTTAAACTGTCATCACATGGGCCAGCCTGATATATTAAACTAATGTTAAATATTCTCATATAATCAGACAGCCAATTTGTGTGCTGAACCTCACTGGAGCTGGAATCAGAGTCTGGACTGCTGTTTCCTTTGGGCATTGATTTCCTTGAAGACAGAAAGAAGAACAATTTAACATGAACTTCTTGCAGAACCATAGAGGCTGTTAAAATCTTCTGCTAGTCTTCCTTACATTTTAAGAAGGATTATAAATTGTTACTAAAATTACTTTGATGCTGATAGCGGTTACAATAACACGGTCCAATCATATGAGAGATCATTTTACCTTTGAGTCCTATGTGAAGGCGTTCTCTTCAGAATCAGCACTGCAAAGACAAGAAGATGGCGTCCACCTTCACAACCTGCTGCTTCAGTCTGGCTGCATCATGGTCACCTACAGGAACAGCACAGAAATGCAATCAAAGTGCTTCACTTTATTTATCAGAGGATGTACTGTATGCAAAGTAAAACAAAATTAGCTGTAATTCCTCAAAAAGATTTGAGACTGCTTTGTTATTTGAGAGCACAGATTGTTTCTTTTCCCTTCTCTCTGTTTGCCTGTACATGACCTTTTAGTGCTGTAAAAGATGCTACAGTAAATCCTGGATCAGCTGTGTGGATGGTGTGACTGTGTGGTAAAGCTTTGTTAAAGTTGTCACGCACATACTCATATGTCTTTGGAGAGTAAAAGTACAGTGTGGTGGCAAACTGCTTATAAAATATAAAATAGTATTTTATTGGTGAAGTGCCCCAATCAAAGCGTCCTACAGAGTAGCAGCAGCAGCTTTAGAGGGAGGAGACGAGAGCATTATGGAGAGGAGCGCACCGGAGGGGGCGAGCTGGGGGAGAGACGCACAACTCGAGAAAAAGGAAATCCCTGTTTAAAATATAATGTTGGTGAAAAGAGGGAAACAGGACGACATAAATGTCAATGTTGAAATTCTTTTGAATACAGAGGCTGTTTGAATGTTCAGTTTTCTTTGGCTATAAAAAGGCAACAATAGCCTGTAGTTTAATCCTGGTGTTTCTCTTCGTTAACGATTATTGAAGTGAAATCAAAAATAAATGCATGACATTTAAAACATATTAACATGTGTGGGGAAAAACGTGATCTTTATGTCTTCTTTTGTTGTGCCTATGTCTCCTCCTAACTACAATAACAGCAGCATGTTGTGTGTAACACTGGTCTCCTGCATTAACACCTTCCTTTCAAAGGTGTTAAATACAGACACAGTCACAATCACAGCAATGTTTGTCAGGTTTTGTCAATTTTTAGAACAATTTCTCAATGAGCGTCATTAAATTTACAATATGATCAACTTGTGACTGTTGAATTGGTGTGTGTGGAAGACAATGCAGAATATTTATCAGTTTAAGCAGCATGATGCTCGGTTAATATTACATTACACCACCGCCGGTTGTTGATGTTTGCGTTCACGTTTCGGTTAGTCTCTTAAATCAGTAACAGTTATATTAAATCAGATCTTACCTTTAGTTTTATCTGGATACATAGAGAAATAATCTACCCTCGTATATAGTACTATGAATTTCAGCCTGCACGGTGAAAGTAAAACCTGTTACTCTCGCTATAGCCCACTTATCACTCAGACTGTAAACATGTACACATTAGTAATGATGCAGGCCAGATTACAATTATTTGACTTTGTTTTTACCCTCGATACTTTTTTGAGACTTTAACAGACGTTTTTATTTTTTTCCTTTAAAATAACTGTACAGTCAATGAACCACATCTATGAGCGGATTTTATATTATGATTCTTGGTTTTAAATACAATTTCAATCACAATAACGACATAACAATATCAAGAAACATAGCATGTCAGTTATTAGGTTTGCTCATTTAATAAAATAAAATAAAAAGATAAATCATGCCGGATAAGTAACCTAGCTTTACAACATTTCAGCTAACCTTAGACTGCGTATGTGTTAGCTAGCTAGATAACAACTTTAACCAATGACACATAAATCACTTTTTTACTTACCGAAAAATCTGCAAAGATCCCTTATCTCCCACAGGTCGGTTAGAACAGCTTACTGGAGAACAACTCATTTTGCCAGCTCAAAAAAGACGAAAAAACTGAACGGAAAAATTCAATGGCGTCTCGGCTTTCCTTCACTACGTAACTTTTGTTATTCACAAAGAGAGCTACGCAAGATCGGCGGCTGTCAATCATCGTCAAATATGATGTAAAATTCCGTTTTTTAACCTCAAATAACTTATTTAAAACAAACTTCACAGAAAAATGAGCATTTGAGCACAATGTAGGGTGATAATAACTAATGATCACAGCAGAGTTTATGTTTGGAAAAAAATTATGTGACGAGTATTTTAACTTTACAGTTTGACCCACATCCCGTCTGTTATCATTGAGGAGGCGGGGTTTATGACCTATACTGCAGCCAGTCAGCAGGGGGAGCTCTAAAAATAAAAGCTTCACTAGACCGGGGACCTTGTCCCGTCCATTATTTTTACAGTCTATGACACACACACACACACACACACACACACACACACACACACACACAGTGCAGTCAAAGAGTCCTGAACGAGTGAAGCTTGTAAGCCCTAACAAATTATGCATGACACTTCACTTGTGCTGGAGCCATAATAAGACAACAATCAGCATCATTCACATTAAACATTAAAGATCCAATATTAAAAAGTCATGTTGTAAAAGTCTAGAAAGATAAATGACAGAGTCTGCTCAGTCTACAACGTTGAACTCTGCACCTGTGGGCATGCAGCTCCTACTCTGTATGGAGAGAACATGGGACGGCTCACTGACAATCTGATTGGCTCGTCTTAGAGTAGAGTATAGTCTGCAGGGATGTGTGATATTTACCTCTCATCATCAACAACATTCAGTCTTAGGCCCAAAGTCAGATTCAGGATAAGATCTTAATGATGTCTTGTTTTAGTCTCCTTTAAAAAAGAGCACAAACCAGACATTTGTTATCTTCTGTGTCTTATTTTGAAGGTTTCGTTGCCCTACTTCCCTTCCAGGAAGTATCCATTTCAGCTTGATGCAGTTTGTTTACCTCCCCGTCTCCAAGGTTACCGAGCTGTACACACAGACACAGAATTCACGCCTGAAGACAACCTGATATTAGTAACTGCAACACAGGTATGTAAAGGTGTGTTTTTAATGTGTGTGTGTTTGTACACAAAGTCAGTGTGTGTGTGTGTGTGTTGATAATGTGTGTGTGTGTGTTGATAATGTGTGTCTGTGTGTGTTTATAATGTTTGTGTGTGTGTGTGCGTGTGTCTGTGTGTGTTTAAAATGTGTGTGTGTGTATGTGTTTATAACGCGTTTGTGTGTGTATACAATGTGTGTGTGTGTGGATGTGTTGATAATGTGTGTGTGTGTGTGTGTGTGTGTGTGTGTGTGTGTGTGTAATATTTCTGTGTGTGTGTGTGTGTGTGTGTGTGTGTGTCTCTCCAGTGTGTGTAAAGATGGTGTCAGGTGAGGGGAAGTCGGACATGGAGCGTCTGGGTGTGTTTAAAGAGATGAGCTACATCACAGTGGGAGAGAAATATTCTCCTCAAACAAACCGTGAGTAACAAAACATTTCTGAATGTGAATACAGCAGAATGACAAATAAAGAGTTATCCTCTATCTTCATGAAATAAACTTCTAAACCGTCCATCACATTAACACATCACCCTGCTTTACTTTATCTGCATCGTCAAACACTCATCACAATTTTATTCTCGTAAAATGACAACTTTGATATCATGAAAATTGGATTTTATTCTCACCGTTTGGGACATTGATCTTTTACATTTACAATTCAATCTTGTAATGTAAGGGATGATGCATGACTGATTGTACCCCTGCAGTACTCCATACTACCCCTAGGGGCACTAGTAACTTTTAGGAGAAAGTGTGGTTTCTGGTTAGTTCTTTAATACATATCAACATGTAAAGATACGACTAGCAATAAATAAATACCATATATAGATTTATTAGTTTTATAGTTTTATTAATTTTAGTTCTATGATGACAGTCAATACTTTACATTTATATGTTTGTGACAAATCATCATGATATTTCATAAGACATGTCTTCTTTCAAATCTAGGTCCGTTTAATGAGTCCGCCTATCTGAGCAGACAGATGCAGGTGGGAATCGCCAAACAGCGATGCGCCCTGCAGAGCGGCTTCTTCGAGAAGTCCTTTAATCGAATATTCGAACGCGAGGCCCTGAGCGACCCGCTGAGACAGGCCCGACAGAACCGCATCCAGCAGGCCAAGAAGAACCTGGGAAAGGCCTTCCTGCCCTGCAACAGCATCAAGAAGCCGTGAGAGAGCACACAGGCACACAATGTTAAAGCAAGAATATGGGATTTTTCACACTTAAATGGAGCAGAAATCAAGTATATCCTCTGCCGGCCGGGCTCATCCCCTCGCGTGTAAAAGTTGTTTAATTGAGGGACTAGAGAAAAGAAGAATAACATACTGTACTCACTGCTTAACTGTGTTTCTAGATCACGCTCATTTCAGGTAAATTTACAAGCAGTGTGAAGATACGAGCATAATAAAGCATAGCATTAGCATGCTAACACAACAATGCAGCGTGAGTTGTATTGGTTTCATTCTGGAGCTCAAGGGCGACATCTGCTGGATCAAAAACTCACATATAGCCTTTAAAGAGGAATTCACATTTTTTAAATTACGTAAAGGTACAAAAGTGATATTGGTGCAGTAACAAACACAAAAAGTGTTGGTGCTCCCTGCAGTTTGCTCGTGTTTAGTGTGTGTACCTTTACACTGTACAGAGCTGCACTCTCATGTTGACTGATTTGCATTAACGGTGGTCATTTTCCCCAAATGACTGCATAATGGTTAGTTTAAGCATCGGCACACATAGACGCCATCTGCTCTGCAGTGCAGTTGTGGGAGCATTTAACCCTAGGCAAGAACATTTGTGTTTTTGCACATTTGCACAGATTTAGAGGGCGCAAAAACTGCACAACAGTTTTGACAGTTCTAATGCAACATGAAGTGTTGCATTAGACCAGAGGGCTGTGCTGTAGAGAAACATACTTGGTTTTGTAAAATGAAATTTAGTTTCTGCTTTTACTGTGCCACAAAGTAGCAGGATTCAAATATGGATGATGTCTGTTATTAAAAAAGCAGAAGATTCAAATTAAAATTTCAGTTTAAAGATTCACTTTCTGTCCTCTCTGCCCTACTGTTACTTTTAAACCCCAGTAAACTAAAACCCAACATCTCTCTCTTATTTGAAACTAATTTTCTTCTCTGCAGCTGTGGTTCAGGGAGTTACTACGGGACTCTGTGTGGACCGGTTGAAGCCATGAGTCCACTGACTGTAGCTCGGAAAGCCCGTCCTTCACCTGGACGCAATATCCTCACCTCACCTCCTAAAAAAGGCAGTGGTTACAGGTTTACGGCAAGAACTCTTTTGTAACTGCTCTGCATGAAACTCTTTAACTTCTTTATACCCCCTGACACACACTTATTACATTCAGTGAGTTCACATGGACTTGAGTATGCTGGTTATGACCAAGCAGCAACCTCCAGTCTTGAAAAATGAAGCCAATGAGGAAGTGCAAAATCCTGCAGCTCGTCGAGTGTCCACTAGAGGCTGACTCCAGGAACACAGGAAGTCACATACACACAACAGGCAACTGGTTATGAGTCTAACCTGGTTTTGATCATATTCAGGATATTGTGTTTAAATATAAACAGAAAAACCTGGTTATTTATATTCCTGTAAAGATGATAAATACTTTTGTCTTGGTTTTTGATCACTGGGGTTTATTGTGGACGTATCCACATCATTTCTAGCTGCAGGAAAGACAAAACTCAGTTTCTTATCCGCCATGTTTTTGTTTGCTGATACATCACTTGGCTCAGGCCGAGCCTGAGCAGGTAGTCGGCAGCTGTCAGTTACCGGGGTAAGGTGTATACATGCCGCAGTATTCCATTTTTTTTTCGCCCAGAGTTTTCAAAGTTGCATAATCGGGTTACTCCTAATAGGGATAATATGGGGATATGATGTTTACACATACACAAAATATTTTACTTAAAAAAACAGATCATTCCTGTGATACTCAAGTCCATTTAAACACAGTCACTGGGTACCTTGAAGCTTAATCTGATTTATTTGTTCTGCATAATTATGTTAATACCACGTTGTTTCTCTTGCAGCTATCCCAACGTGACACTGTCAAAGATTGAGCTGTATGCCTCAGACCCCTACAGCAGAGTCAAAGAAGTTCAAAAGGTGTGCGTCATTTAAATCTGTATGATAAAAAAACTTCCCTTCTATATTCACACTGATTTTAAATAATGTAAATGTGTTTGTGACACAGAGGGAGGCAGCCATCCATCGCTCTAAGTTAAGAGATGGTCCCTTCAAGCTCAACCTTCACCCCAAAGAATACTTCCAACGCAACCCGTATCGCAGTGACAAACCCCTCCCACCGGCCCACAAGCCCCTCCCACCTGCAAAGAAAGACTCTCCCGTTCCCTTCAAGCCCCCCTCCCCAAGCAAAAAGGTGATCATCTCAATCTCAATGTTCACCTGACATCCTGTTTGAAGAGATCATCAGTCACTGTTGTAAAGTTTGAAACGCAGCAGCTCATGTTAGCATTAAATCAACTCCTATAGCTTAAAGGGCTCCTTTAACAAACTACAGATCCCAAGCTAATATGTTAGCTAATAGATTGAATGCTAAGGTAAGCTGTTGTTTTACAATAGCACTGAAATAATTTCAACTCGAGTAGGGGAGAGTGGGGTAAGTAGTGCCAATTTTTACTTAAAGTGCCTTTAAAGCAAGGGGATTACAGTAATGCCTCCAACTAAAATATGTACATATAGTTTAGGATGTTGTGCATCCACAATCACTTTGGATATTAAATAAACTGTTTGAGAAATATAGCTTTAGAAAAAAAAGTAGTTTTGTGGCACAACTTGCCCCCGGTGCGGGGTAAGTTATGCCATTATAGAGAATACACTGGGGTAAATTGTGCCATTGATAATTGAAGTAAAACAGATCATTTTAATCTCACGCTAATGCTATATAAAAGTTAGACAAATTCAATACAAAATTACTTATTTAATGTTTATTTAAAGTTTTAACAACATCAAACACACTCATTGTATGAACACATACTCAGAACAAAATAAAAAATCCAAAATGAGCACCTAAGCATCTGCAAATCATCTGCATCTGAATCTCTTCACAAACTCGGCCTACTACTGAACATCCCACTTGACAATGCTGCAGGGGAATGTGAACTTATGCTCCTTTCTGGCTGTACCACCAAGTTTTTATGGTGTGGGTAGTTTCTTGAGCACATCACCTCTAGGGATGACTCCTTCATCATTCTCTCTAAATGTGAAGCTGGGCTTTCCATCAACAGACCTCTTACAACTTTGCACTGATCTCTGTGCCACTGGCACAACTTAACCCAGGCCTTTTGGCACAAATTACCCCAAGCCCAACATTTTGAAAAAGATGCACCCCCCAGCTGTTTTGAGCTAGCATCATGCTAACTGTATAGACTCATGGTGTAGCTTACTAAAGCACTAAAACATGTGTGAACTGTTTTCAAAGTTGTCTATTTTGTTCAAACACAGCAATCAAAAAACCTTGATTATAGAAATTTTGCTTTGGAGGACAAAAAAATATTTTTTGAACTTAAATGTGCTTACCTCTCAAGCCATGTGTCTCCCTTCTTTGCAGGATGAGTGAAATGGATGCCACTTCAAAAATATGTGGTCACATGACCAACTTCTTCTATGGTTTTCTAGATAACAGGGGTGGCACTTCTTGCCCCTTGGCACAAATTACCCCACTCTCCCCTACTGTTGAATATTAGCTTATTAAATTACAGAATCCCAGTCGTTATGTTCATGAAGTTAGCTTGTGTCTGATGTTGCATATAGCACTATCCCTGGCTTCTAACTGATTAAATAGTATTATACGATGTTAAAGTTTAGCCAATGTGTTATGCTAAAGTTAGCATATAAAGCTGCTGCACCTGGATTAGCTATTTGACGTGGTTACCTCGTTCAGTGAATCAAAGTTTATGTCAGATTGCCTTGTTGAACAAGCTGATTTTTTATTTTACTTTCATTGGCTACTTGTGTCCATCTGTCCATACAAAAATCACCTGCATGGAACACTTGCATGGAAAACCTGACTCAACACAAAGGTTCCAACCTGTATAGAGGTAACTGTCAATCACCCCGTGAGATCCTTAACACCAAACACCACTTTATACATTTTTAAAATCTGCTCCTACACTTAGCATTCATTAAACATCCCTAAAAACGTTTAGCGTGAGATTAGAAAACACTGTTAGCAACACGTTAAAACACTATTCCTGTGTATTTAAAAAACACAATTTACAGAATGTTTTTCATCGACCAAGCACAGAGGACAAAGAGGTGTAAAAGAAGAGCTGTGTGTGTTTGGGCTGAAACTAGAGAGGATTAAAGTGATCTAATGTGAGACCTGTGTTGTGTTCCTGCTAGCATAGATTGCTCTGTGACAGACGGAGCTGTAGTGTGCCTGCCATGTTATCACATTCTTCACTCATTCACTTACATATTAACACTTTAATCTTCACATTTCATAAATATTTTGGTGAAAATGTCTCTCAAGGAATTACTACACCACACTACACTAGTGACCGTCTTATTAAAAATGTAATTTAAAAAATAAAAGGCTTGCTAGCTCAATTTAACACCTTCTCATCCTCGTCTCAGAGCCTCACTCGTCTTCATATCCTGTCATCAATAAAAAAATGTTTCACTATAATTCACGTTACATTATATATTATATTATGTTTTTAAATATCTGATAACCCTGACTTTCTGTCAGGAAATATTCAAATGTGGTAGTTTATTTGTCAAAACTACTGCTGTATTTACCACCACATTACAGCTATGAACATTGTTATTTTTTATTATCATTATGTTATACTATTACAGAGAAATAGTATTTAAAGTAAAGATCCACTCAGGTTACACGGTTAATGTTCACACATCAGGTGTGTGATGTTGTAACTCCTCAGATCACAGTATGGGCTCGTTTGTCCAGTTTGACGGAGAGAGACTGAAGAGATCCTCATGTACACCTTTAAATTAATTTATTTTATAATGTTATGATGCCGATCCATGTTCATAAAAGTCACATTTTATATGTTTACCTCACTGCTTATTGGAACAGTTTCCTTATTTAAGCTTTTAAATCGGTAAAAAAAAAGGATTTTCCATTCATTTTGGATCAAAGGTTTTCACCCAGAAAGGGGCGGGGCCGGCTTCATTTTGGCAAAGCACCAGGATGTGTTGCTCTCACCTGTTATTTCACACTGATCATATCTATCTGTTTTGTTTTAGATTGGAGGAATGAAGGCGGGGACGTTTGACTCTTATCCCTCACATTCTGCTGATTCATACGTTATCCGCCGCTCGAAACCTACCAATCAGGAGCCAGTCTTCCGTCCTGCTCCTGGTCCTAAGAGCACACCTGTTAAGAGTATCATCGCCGTCAATGTGAACAGGTTTGTGCCTATTCACTGCTGTAGATATGATCCGGTCTCACAATGGAGGGCTTCAGGGGACACGATCACCCTGTAGAGGTCATAAAGACTTCTCCTCGTTTACAGGAAAGTCTCACATTACAATCTGCATCCTGTCAGGTAAAAGTTGAGAATATAAAGAAGTAGGACTACTTGAGTACTTTAAAAGTGGAATAACTGAATGTCTTTGGCTTTTTTGAAGCAGCATACAATCATCCAGCAGCATTCTTATCATTTGTTTGGCGTTGTGTCTGTGTGGACCTAATGACCGATGGATGGATGGATGGATGGATGGATGGATGATGGAGGGATGGATGGATGGGGATGGATGGATGGCTAGCTAGATGGAGGGATAGATGAATGGATAGATCTATTGATCGCCCGATTGAGATGGATGGAGCAATGGATGAAGTTATGGATGAATAATAGATAGATGATGGATGAAGGATGGAAGGATGGATGGATGGACGGATGTTGAATGGATGGATAGATGGATGCTGAATGGATGGATGGTGGATGGATGGATGGATGGATGCTGAATGGATGGATGGATTCTGAATGGATGGAAGGATGCTGAATGGATGGATGTTGAATGAATGAATGGATGGATGTTGAATGGATTGATAGATGGATGATGGATGTTGAATGGATGAAGGATGGATGGATGGACAGATGTTGAATGAATGGATGGATGGATGGATGTTGAATGGATGGATGGATGGATGGATGTTGAATGGATGGATGGATGGGGATGGATGGATGGATGGATTGATGGATGGGGATGGATGGATGGATGATTGATGGATGGATGGATGCTGAATAGATTGATGGATGGATGGATGGATGGATGGATGGATGTTGAATGGATGAAGGATGGATGGATGGATGGACAGATTTGAATGGATGGATAGATGGATGGTGGATGGATGGATGCTGAATGGATGGATGGATGGTGGATGGATGGATGGATGGATGGATGGATGGTGGATGGATGGATGGATGCTGAATGGATGGATGGTGGATGGATGGATGGATGGATGCTGAATGGATGGATGATGGATGGATGGATGGATGGTGGATGGTGGATGGATGGATGGTGGATGGATGGATGCTGAATGGATGGATGGATGGTGGATGGTGGATGGATGGATGGGGATGGATATGGAGGGATGATGGATGGGGATGGAGGGATGGATGGAGGGATTGATGGATATATGGAGGGATAGATGGATGGATGGATGGATAGATATATGGAGGGATAGATGGATGAATAATAGATAGATGATAGGTGGATGGATGGATGTTAAATGGATGAAGGATGGATGGATGGATGGATGCTGAATGGATGGATGGTGGATGGATGGATGGATGGATGCTGAATGGATGGATGGATTCTGAATGGATGGAAGGATGCTGAATGGATGGATGTTGAATGAATGAATGGATGGATGTTGAATGGATTGATAGATGGATGATGGATGTTGAATGGATGAAGGATGGATGGATGGACAGATGTTGAATGAATGGATGGATGTTGAATGGATGGATGGATGGATGGATGTTGAATGGATGGATGGATGGATGGATGGATTGATGGATGGACATAGACTGGATGATGGATGGATGGATGGACGGATGATGGATGGATGGATGGATGGTGGATGGATGATTGATGGATGGATGGATGCTGAATAGATTGATGGATGGATGGATGGATGGATGTTGAATGGATGAAGGATGGATGGATGGACAGATTTGAATGGATGGATAGATGGATGGTGGATGGATGGATGCTGAATGGATGGATGGATGGTGGATGGATGCTGAATGGATGGATGGATGGTGGATGGATGGATGGATGCTGAATGGATGGATGGATGGATGGGATGGATGGATGGTGGATGGATGGATGGATGCTGAATGGATGGATGGTGGATGGATGGATGCTGAATGGATGGATGGTGGATGGATGATAGATGGATGATGGAAGGATGGATGCTGAATGGATGGATGGATGGGTGGATGGATATATGGAGGGATAGATGGATGGATGGATGGATATATGGAGGGATAGATGGATGAATAATAGATAGATGATAGGTGGATGGATGGATGTTAAATGGATGAAGGATGGAAGGATGGATGGATGGATGGATGTTGAATGGATGGATGACAGTGATTTAGTAAGTGTTTTGCAGTTGATACTTAAATAAAGAAATTATCATTTTTGCAGGCTAAGAGAATATATAATTAGTTATTGTCGACTAAATCAAAAATAAATAGCAGTGAATAGACAAAGTAACAGTTACTACACAAAATAATCATCATGAGAAAGGAGCCATCTTGTACTTGTTTGTTTTGACACAAATTGTGTATTGTACTAGGTATAAAATGAGGATATTATTTTACAGCTTCAAGGTCCACTGAGGGGGAGAAGAACATATCAGACTTTGTCATGTCATTATTATTAACTACAGATTCAGGTCATTTAATACACCTGAACAAGTGGTTATTTTTCAACCAACCCTAACGACATCATCTTCACCCAAACCATGCTTAAATGTGTAAATCCTGGTTGAGGAACTTTAGAATTGTTTTTTTTTTCTTCTTGTTGTTTCAGAAGTGTGCACTCAGTAAGCTACACTTCAACCATTCCAACTTTGATGACCTTTTGACCACATGATCCATCGGGCCGTCACACTGCTGTTTTCTGCTGTTTAATACGTGAGCAATATCACACAAGAGGAAGTAATGTACTGAATATCACATGAAAAAATAATCACAGCAGTGTTGATATTCAGAAAAAGCATCTCAACCTTGATTGTGATATTATTTATTATTATATATACTGTAGGCCAGGGGTGCCCAACCTTTTTTGAACCAAGATCTACTTTTAAAGTTGTCAGTCTGCTGAGATCTACCAGTCCACATAGTGAGCCTTTACCAACAGCCTACAAACGCATTTAATACTCAAACAACAAACAGAAAATAATATCAGATATAATAAATGAGAGTTCTGTAAAAAATAATGCAATATCGACATACTTTTTTTAAAACTCTTATTTTAGGGTAGGCTACATTTTAATATTACGTTTGTATTTATATCACATATGTTTTTCCCTTAATTTTGTTTACAACAAACAACTTTAATCTGTGTGGAGATGTTCACAGACTACAGCAGGCTGCTGTGAGATGATGTTGCTTTTGTTAAATTAGCTGCAGACACAGTGAGAGTGAACGGAGTAAAGTCCAACGGACTGTTTGACCGGGTCACGTGTGTTCCCACCTCGGTCTGTAAAGATCACGGATCAACTGTGTGCTGTAGCACTAAAAGTAAAAAGTAAAAAGGTTCGCGTGGTGGCTGGCGCTCCAGTGCAAGTGTGTGTGTATGTGTGTGCGTTTGCGCTGTATGTTGGTGTGCCCCGCGATGCTCACAGTCATGACAGCAGAGAGGAGCAGAGAAAAGTAGCTGCAGCTTCATCAAATGCGCTTAATCCTCGTAGCATAGTTTCTATATATGACTTTTTTGTAAAACATTTACCCCCCCGGTTTTACCTGCACGTCATTGCGCATGCCTGCACTCTCTCTTGCGCGCGCTCTCTCTCTCTCTCTCGCTCCCCCGCTCGCTCTCTCGCTCGCTCTCTCATGCACGCAGCAATTTCATGAATAAATGAAAAATTAAATACAAACAGGTCGGAAGTATACTTGGCTCCCCACACAGGTATCGTGTGTGGGAAACACTGCAATGAGATGAAATTGAAATCACTTTTCTATTTTACAATTGTATTTTATATTGACAAAACATCTCGCGATCGACTGAGAATCAGTCAGCGATCTACCTGTCGATCGCGATCTACCTGTCGATCGCGTTTGGGCACCCCTGCTGTAGGCTTTATACAGTATATGTATTATATATATTCTGATTTATCCTGCTGGTTTACTCTGAATTTGGAAAATCTGCATTTCTCTATAAATGTGGAATAATTTACTACACACTCTCAAGATGGACACTCTTGTTTCTCTTGGACAAACTAAGACAATAACTACAATCCACTTCACCACAGTGTGCAACTCATAGTCTGTAACTACTGTTATATACAGTCTGTGGTCCTTTCTTTGTTTTCTTTGTGCTCTTTTTTGTCTATTGATGTCGTTGTAAATGAGGGAAACTTCAATGATGTCCAAGGCTTAAATAAAAGTTTGAAAAGACATTTCCTCTAATTAATGTAAAACTTATTCTAAATGAAATGTTAAGTTGTTTTCTGTCTCCTCGCCTGTTTCCTCTTAAATCAATCCATTTTGGGTTTACATTCAAGGTTTTACTTTTCACAGACTTTGAGTTTACTATACAGTAAATAAAAAGATACACAAGTCAGAACATTTCAAATGAATCTTTGGTCGTTGATGATGGTACATCTGCTTCCCTTCCCATGATGTGAAAATATACAGTATACAGATGCATCTTACACAGTGGGGAATAAAGTAGTGATTGCATTTATTAATCCAGAGCTAAACATCATGTCAAATAGAAGGGTCAGAGATGACCTGTCAGTCTATACAGGAGAACTATCAGCCATTCTGCTTGCTCTTAGCTTGATATGGGAAACTAGCCAAGGGAAGCTACAATTGAGTCTGACTCCGGTAGTGCGCTAATAAGTATCCAAAATATTCAATCAGATACAAGGCAAGATGACGTTATCCTTGACATACTACAAGCAATATTCAGCATCAAAAAAACAGGGACAGAGGACCACTTCATGGATTCATATTGGAGTGGAGGGGAAACAAATGGGCAGATACAATTGCTAAAGTGGCAGAAATATGTTTGTACAATATAGCAAAACTATAAGTATAATCAAGTAAGAAATGAATGGAGCCATCAAACAGTTTTTGGCCTTTAACAAGAAGGGAAGACACTACTAAAGCATGAAAAGGAAATTAGGTGAAATGAGGGACACCAACAGAAGCAAAAATGCAGAGAGCATCAAATCAAGAATGAGATTTGGTCCTACAGGTCTGAACAGAACACCTCAAGTCGTTGTTTGCAACATGGAGATGTGATCATTGTGGTGTTCTGGAAACTGAGGTATACAGAGTTCATATACACACTGATTGTTCAATCTCCATAGGATCCACCCTATTCTAAATAATAAATATTTACTTAAATTGCAAAAACTGTTGAATTATGTGACTTGACTAAGAAATCAGAGTTGGTACCTTATCGAATTGCTATGTATCGCATTATCCCCAACCCTGAAATCATTTACATCACTATGTAGATGTCTCCGTCTTGAGTCTGTTGTCCAGTTACATTCTGCTCATTTTCTGCATCTTAATTTTATAACCATCCCTACTCCCTTATTTCAAGCAGTGGAGGTTGAGTGTTAATGTGTAAATATAAAAGGTCAGTTTTTTACAGTAACTTATTATGCAAGAGGAGTCTGGCCCCTTAAAAAAATACATTTGGGGAATAATTTAGAGAACACACACTTCTTGAGGCACCACATCACAAGATGTATGTGAGTATACAGGAGAGACAGATTCTGAAACAGTCATGTCAAAGATGTCAAATAACACTAGTATTAGGTGGGGGTTGTTTCTATAGTAGATGGACAATGATGAAACTGTGAAACAGACTGTGGATCATCTTAGATTTATTCAGCCATGGTCAGAAAACATAGAAACACAACACACATGGCTGACAAAGTGCAGACCATCACTGACCCATGCTGACCAAGATCTCACCATCATAGACAGTCATCATCAAGTGGCCATCATGGACAAAGTAGCAGAATGGCAAAGTCTTCATCTTCACAGTGTTCCTTATATTCTACTAGAAGGTACAGCCCACAAATTCCTGGCTGCTTCGGTTCATCTCTAAAAGGCTAGAAAGAAGACATCAGCTTGACTCTTAAATATCAGACATATACATTTCTTCCGTTTCAGAGTCACATTTCCTTTTCAGCTTACAACAGACTCTTCAATCCAAATATAACTCTGCTGCTATGAGGTCTCTTACACATGTATTACAGCTTCACAAACCTAAAAGAAGAATTACTCTTAGATCGTTTACACAATTTAAAGATATATCCACAAAATTATCAAGATGAATGAATTCATGAAAATACGTACAAACAACTAGATACAAGAGGCTCTCTGCAGAAGAACTCACGGGTAAAGGGACTAAGAGTCACATAGATCTTTCGACAGTACGGTACTTGTTAGGAAAATTTAGTGCACCAACACCCTCCAGTCCAGAGGGGGGCAGTAATGCAGTTGTTTGCTAACCGCCATGAAAATGCTCCTCTCCCCACAATGCACAGCGGCATAATGCTTGTTATAAATAGCTGCGTGACTTCCGTTCTGTCTCTCTGTCCTCCTGAAACATGTTGCTACACAGGTCTGCTCTCTGCTCGTCACTGAACATGGTGAGTCTTTCTGCTTCTGTCAGGTTAGATTAGAACCTCAAACACCTGACGTGAAGCGAGTTTTTTTAAAAATAGTTTTTATAGCTATTCAAAGTAAAACTTGTTTCTTTGTAGTCCGTACTGAAAATATTGGCAAGAAAACCCACGGGCCAGGTGTTGCGTCGAGATGTGCTACCCATCGAGAAATACTTCCACTAAAATATGAAATGGAAGTTAAATTATTGACGATTAAACTATTTTCCAGTTTCATTGAAGTGCACGTGTTTCAATGTGATTATGTACCGGAAGTTTTACTTGATTTTTTTATCCCATCGAGGCACCAAAACGTGCTCTGCTTCATCAGGTGACATGCAGAGTAGTGATTTTAATATGAAGTTGTTTTCGAATGGTAGCATGATTAGATTTGGGACATGAAATGTTTCATGTTGGTAGCATTTTGAAACACGTGGCTCATCTGAACTGCAGTCTGTATTTCCGGTCACCCAGTAACCAGATCAGCTGCGTACAGCTTCACATCCAAACCAGTCAGACTCATCAATAAACAGCCTGCAAACATCACGTTTCATGATCCCAGTGGGAAATGGACTGTAGGAGACATGGAGCTCTCTGACTGTGCTCCTAGAGGAGGAGGAGGGGAACACGTTGTAGAAAGTGGAGCTGAAGTTTGGTGGCTGCTTTAACCAAAAGTATCATTGAATGCTGCAACAACACATGCCTTTTAATTTAATGTGTAATCTCTTGTGCTGAAAAGTGCTACACCTATTTGATCAGGCCCTTAAAGGAAGGTCATAGTTATGCCATTTTAAGTTATGTAAAGCAAAGCTTAATGCTTCATTAATAAACTTAATTAAGAAGTTTAACTTGTGACTCTGCAGACTGTCTTAACTTGTGACCATGAGTGTGGTTGACAGGTTGCTCGGGTGGCTCTGATTGGCTCCTTTCATTATTTGAACTAATGTGACTTTGATGTGTTCACTTTCAGAGATGCTGCACCCCCTGTTGATCACATGTTGGAGCCAAGCATCAGAAATGGGATAGAGCTACAAACCTGATGCCTGTGGGACTACAGGTAAATATTCACCCTGAGGCCCTTTAGTTTACCCCCCTCCCCTCCCCAGCTCTAAGTCAGCTGACCAGGCAGTGTCTGTGCCCGGCTCAGTGTTACAGCGCTGGTAGACGAAGTCTCTGTGCCCAGTCAGAGCTGTGCAGGTTCTGTTTTAGAGTCTGCTGCTCCTGATCTGCTGCAGAGCACGGCCCAATGAGAGTGGCCTGTCCTGATCACACAGCAGGGCAGGCCTAGTACATGGCCACACATTCACACACAGGGCCCAGTTCTAGACTGCTTTGAATGGGGGTGGGGGGCAGGCAGTAAGAGATGTTATAAACTACTACAGTTGGTGTTATTTATGACTAAACTACAACATGGATTGTTTTGTGTTTGTAGCTTAAGTAATTCATAACTTTAATACTTATGTCAGTAGCTTATTGAATTTGACTCCCACCCCAGCAAAGAGGAGTTGGGTACAAGACAAAATCTGTCGGAGATGTAAATACAGGGAATATCAAACATTTCGTAAAGAGCACTTGGGATGTCAACGGCCTCTTTCTGAAAAGTCTTATGATTTTCAACTCTTCAGAGATCAGAGCGGTGTCAACAAAAAGGCTTGAAGCTTTTTGTCTAGACTGCTGTAACAAACGCTCTCCTCATTGAACACTATTGAGGGGAAAACATGGCATGTTGTTGATTCAACTGTCACTTTTAGAAAGTCTAATGACCCCATGGTATTATTTAAAGTCTGTGGGGGGTTGATCCTCCAGCTGAGAGAACCTGCCTGGTTGTCAATCTACAGTAAGACATCTGAACCAGACTGTTTCTTTGTTTCAGGTGGAGCCTCTGACGAGCTGCTCTGTGAGGAGCTTAGTGTCCCGCTGAAGGCCGACTACAGGTGGGAGTGCTATGATCTGTTCTTCCTTCTTTTCTAAAAGTCGTGGTGTTTGCTGTGATTATAAATGTAACACATCATGCTGACAAACACCGTGGTGAACATTACACACTGAGCAAAGCCTCCATCTGCCAGTGTTCAGAATCAAACCGCTGACCTCTGCTGACTGCTGCTTGTTTCTCTGCAGGTGCTGGAGCAGCAGCAGCTGCTGACCTGAAGGGGGCAGCAAACACCAGGAAGAGCAGTGTGCTTGATGAGGGGTAGGTCTGACACTTCCACAGCATTTTCTGTCATGACTTGAAACCCAATCGTGTACTGCCGTGGCAGAGACTCTTCCTCTCTGCTGGGGAATCTAAACATTGGGAGATAAATGTCAGGACTTGGCACAGGTTCACGTTGACCCCGTTTACCAGAACCTGACTGAAGACCTGAAACATTCTGCTTCTGTGCATCATTAACTCTTGACTTCAGTATAAATGTTCAGCTAATTCTTGTTTACTGTTTCCACTTCAGTCCAACGTGCACGTCTGGATGAGAAGTCCTTCTGCTGACCTTGACTTCCGGACACACCTGGGTGTATTTTCTTGAGGCGTGTCTGCTCCCCCTGACGGAGTCGGCGGGTCGATGTAAACATCTGTTACATTTTGTTGGAAAGTGATACCTGCTTGTATTGTAATAAAAGTTGAACTTAAAGAACCTCACATCAGATTTTTGGTGATTATTTGACTCTTTCAGAATAAAAGACCTTAAGAATTAAATGTTAATTTGACATGAACCTTATCTTTCACGAGTAGGCCTCAGTCTCTGATAAGGATGGCTGTCACTGAGGCAGGCCTCTAATTTAGAGATGCTGCCTGTCAACAAGCAAGGTAGGAAACTGCTGCAGGGGGCTCCTTGTTGACACTACTTTGGAAAGTAAACACTAAAAGGGGGCCCTCTACCTCAGCAGTCTTGTTTTTCCGAAACTTGTGGAAACACCAGGCTGGTAAGAGGGATGGGGTGTGATTAAATGAAACTAATCTAAAACATGCTTAATAGGATTGTTTCAACCATAAACTAAATATTACAGAACCACTGGGACATTTATGTTCAAGTTGTCTATACAGCTTAAACCTTGAGTTGAAATAATGTCTGAACATCCTGGAGGGGTCATGTGAAATAATTATCTCAACATTTCAAAGATGATTCAAGACATTGAGCAGCTGATTCTAAAAAGCATTTTGTTACTCAAGGTAAGATTCAAACCATTAAACATCTCTTAATGCTTAAATATCATGTCCAGTAATGAATTGAACATTTCTTTAACAAGCTGACTGTAGTGGCTATTTGTCCAAAAACAAATCTAAAACTAATATCACAATCAAATGACCACTGATGCACCATGGGGGATGTGATGTACGCAGGGAAAATAAGTCCAATGTCCATGCAAAAGATTTGTGGTTTGTTGGTGGTGTATTTAAAGAAATCAAATCAAAAGAACAAAGTTGTGGCTCCTGCTGCCTCTCAGGCTCACCCAGGTGCATGCTGGTCCTCTACCTGCCTCTTAAATAATCTCAGGTGCCCACAGTATTACCCAAAATACCTAACAAAAATACTAATTCAAAACTAAATTTAGTAAACAAATAACTAGCAAAAGAAAATACTACCCAAAATCTATTCTAAATAAACACCACCCAAATTAATGTATTAATGAAATAAAAACCAGAACTAATTCTAACAACAACTAAATAGCTCCAACACATAAGACCTTAATGATATTAATGATGATGATGGTTTTGTTTGATAAGGAAGATATTAGGATGGTTTTGATGCTGGTTAGAATTCTCAAGAAGTTTTCAGTTGCAAATTCAGTAATTTGATTAAAAAAGAAGACTCTTTCTTTGGAGAGTTGTGCTCTCTTCTAAGTTAACTCTGTCAATTAACAGGCAACAGTTTCCCCTCACTCAATTTAACACAGGTTGACTAGTTTTAGATGGAGGGTCTCAGTATGCATCTTGACAGAGAATGAGCAGGTTCTGTTGTTTACATGACTTAAAAACAATAAAGTATTCATGCATTCAACTGCCGACATGATATCTCCATGATCAGAGAATAACATGTTTTTACATCCTGACCACAGTTTAATATAATCCTGTAACACTCTGTTGCTGGTCCTGTGCTTTAATCACCACTAGATGGAGCCACTGCCCCGGAAAACTGCAAGTTTACTCTCTATAGTGACAGGCCAAACATTAAAAACATGGGATTGGGAATGCTCTTTGTACACTGACTAAAGTCCCAATTTGACCAACATTGTGTCGTTTCAGAAATGTGTTTAAAGGCATCAGAAAGCTTTGCAACGTAACAGGATCCTAATGGGAAAATACCGATGATGTACTGACCCATCACCGTTACCTCTTAACAAACTCATCCATAGGCTACTTGCATTTTATTCGGAACTCACTGCTAAACTGATCTAGGCTGAAGTCTCTCACCATAGTCTGTGATATATTATTTAAGTAAAACAAACTAATTCGGCTCTTTTTTAATCGACCAAGAAGCAAAAGAAGTCGTTTTGTCAGAGAAATAAGCCCACACTACCGGCGTCTCAGCAAACTCCGTGCAAAAATGAGTGTATTTTATTCTTACAGCATTGCAAACGTAGACTCATGATCTCAAGTCACTTTCTAAGACGTGTTCTGCCTTTGTTTGGAGTCATTCACTAATCCGGCTCGTTTATAATCAACCAAAAAGCATTTTTAAGGAACTTCTATTTCAGAAAAACTACTCGCAGTCGAAGGTGTCCTTTGTGATGCGTTGTTTGAAACAAAACGTGGTTTTCATTAAACTTACTTATGAGAGGATTGTGGATAAATACAAAATAATCCTAGTAATATTAGGAAACCTAAGACTTTGTTTTTCCTGACGGAGTGTGACAGGACTGTGGACACTGAGCGGACACGATGGGGGCTGGATTGAAGGAGGAGTTTCTCTCCTTCAAGTCTCTCAGCTCAAAGTTTTTTCTCCAAGACTTTCAAAGATCTTCACGGGCAACGTAAGAGGAGGGAACAAATAGGTAAGTTATTTATTCTGGTGCATCGCTTTTGTCGTCAAAGTTTTATTTTTAAAGCGCTAAATCTTTGCTGAGATAATGAATCTGTGCTGTCAGTAAAAACGCTTGCACGGCAGAAACATACACAGCAGCGGATGTTATTATCACGAGTTTCAGCCTGCTGTCCTGCAGCTGCGACCTAACAGACAAACTGCTGCTATAATATCATCTGGTAGGAAAAGTTTGAAAATGTGTCAGAAGTCTTCTATCTTGTTTATGTTGCTCATCAGTTACTGTAGAGTGAAATAGTTTGATGTTGCTGTCTTGTCATCTTTTTTAAATTTAAGGACACTAAGGAGGCAGGATTTTAAACCCATTTTACTCCGGTCTTGTTTTGTTATCTTAATCTCCTTTCTCCTTAATCCTCGACTGAAGTCGTTTAACAACATACCGAGGATGTACTGTTGTGGCAGTTTAATCTGCTTTTTATGTGGTTGAATTATTAAAAGGATAATTTGTTATTACATCACGTGTGATTGGCAGATCACTTAGGAGGACGCCCACCGCTTCCTCCTGACACAACACTGAGATGGTTTGCTTTCTCAATCCCATGTTGCAAACCTCGAAAAAGAGAAGTAAACTCAGATTGTCTAACATGTGGAGAAATCTGCCCATGTAGAAGCTGACATTTGTGACACAGTTCAGGGTGGATTAAGACTGGAGACACACTCATATCATCACAGTTCTTCATGTGAGTTGACATGAGCCTGTTGCAGAAGTTTATTTCTCAGAATCTATCGTTGACAAAATTCATAAATATAAAAACTGTTGCAGAAAATATTTCCAGAAAAACAATGCTTGGGGTTATTTAAGAAATGCTTCAACACTTGTCCGGCAGGGGGCGCTCTGAAACTAGTTCACACTCCTCTCAGCACTGTCTGCAGCTCACATAGAAAGTTGAAGAAGACAATGGACCACACTGTTGTGTAAAGGTCCCATACTGTCCTCATGTTCACCTTTCATGTTGTCAGTCTGTGAAACCTTTAGAGCAGCTTTGTAGGATTTCAACCTCCTTAAAGGCTTTATGTGATTTTTCACACTTAAATGTAATAGAAATCAAGTATATCCTCTGAAAATAACTCTGTGAGTCATGACTGTCTACAATGGGTGTAACACCCGAGTCCCACTGTCTGTGATGTTTTCAGAGTTTTCAGAGTCCTATCTTCAGTTAGTTTACATCGGTGGGACAGCCGGCTGACTCCTCCCCTCATGTATAAAAGTTGTTTAATTGAGGGACTAGAGAAAAGAAGAATAACATACTGTACTCACTGCTTAACTGTGTTTCTAGATCACGCTCATTTCAGGTAAATTTACATGCAGTGTGAAGATACGAGCATAATAAAGATCACTAGCATTAGCATGCTAACACAACAATGTAGCGTGAGTTGTTTTGGTTTCATGCTGGTGCTCAAGGGCGACATCTGCTGGATCAAAAAATCCCATATAAAGCCTTTAATTATCTAATACTGTCATCAATAATAATAAAAAAAAATATTTCAGCCTCTGCCTGAAACTATTAGTTCCAGCTGCTGTCTCTTTAAGGCCCCCTCCCCAACGAGCCCACTTTCTTCTGATTGGCCAGCTTTCTGGAAGCCCTGCAGAGGGGCAGAACGCTGCAGTGCTGCCAGGGGAGAAGAGAGTCTATAGCCCTTTTCACATATGAGATGGCTCGATTAATTGGGAAACAAAACAACTGAACAATGTGTGTTAAGATGTTTTCACACACACACTCATTTCGGGAGAACTGCTCAGGCGATTCTCCCGACCTGGCTTTTCACATATACCGGAGACTATGACTTCTATTGTTGTTGCCGTGGTATGAAAACAGGTTTCGATAATGATTGATTTGATATGTATCATGTCAAAGTTTAAAGTTCTGGTTTTGTGACAAGCCTTTTCTCAATGTAGATCTTTTACATACTGTGGCTCTTCCCTCTGAAGCAGGAGATGCTCCACTCCCTCTGTAGAGCCTACCCCACCATGGCTAGGTTCCTGAGGTTGTTCACTACTGTGGGCGACAAGCAGCCGGCCCAGTTCGAGTTTGAAGAGCTGCATGAGACCAGTGAGGAGCTGAGCCCGGCAACCGGCCTGTTCCCGCAAACGCTGACCTTCAGGGGCGCTCTGCAGAGACTCTACAGCTCCAACCGGTTCCAGGTATGTGGATGCTCTCTGGAATGTTAGTGTTATGTTCTTTCTATAAACAAGAAGGCTATGTTTAGTTAATATGTTTCATTATGAGATTTTCTATTTTTGAATGAACCTCTGTTACATCAGAACTGGTTACAGCCTTTTCTTTACAAAGACACAGAATCAGAGCTGTGAATCCGCTGGTGGCTGAAATAGTATCATGCTTTAAAGTAGCAGCTAGCATGGCTCACTGCCATCTATTTGAAAACAACTCAGATCATTATTTTGTAAATGTAAGTATCATCACAGACTGTAGGCTGCCTGACTTATGCAGGGGTGCGCTGAAGTGTGAAGTGCCACAAACACACACAAATACTTAAAAATATCTCACCTTTTCTAGCCTCACCAATAACATCTACGTTATAAAACAAGAGAATGGCAGCATTAGCTTCATTCTTAATGAAAAATAAAGAAGATTTATGTTCAAAGTCACAATTTAAAGTGCTTAACCCTAAGTCATCAGTTTAATTTACTACCTTAAATCACTAAGGACAAAAATGTCCACTTACCAAAAAACTGCTATAAAAATAAAACAGATTGATATTTTTTTCTGCATACATCTCTTAAACAACTTCAGCCCTGCTCAAAACTACCAAACATTCAATCATTTTTAGGAATTTAACCCTTTAAAATGCCAGTTTGATTACTTGATGTCACTGTTGTTATTTATGAAAAAAAACACAAACATTTTTTATTTTCCATATAACAAATATTTGGTGGCTGGGGGATTTTTAAAAAAATCAGTCTTGGATATGTCAAAGATTATCCAAAATATTGACTTTGAAGCATTGTTAGTTTTTGTGTAGCATCAGATTTAAAATGTAGTTCCCTGTTTGGACAGTGGAGGGCGGAAATGTCCAATTTACAAAAACTGCTGTAAAAATAGAACAGATTGATATTTTTTTTGCATAAATCTCTTTAACAACTCCAGCCCTGCTCAAAACTATCAAATATTGAATAATTATCAGGAATTTAATTTTGCCATATGCACTAACACAGACAAAATGATGGCCAGGTGAAGAGGTAAAATTTGACCAAATGGACAAAAATGTCCATAATGATACATGAGGGTTAAAAAATAGCATGCAAACTCCTGCACAGTATAATTTGCAGAAATACATTCATTGTCATTGTTTAGTTCCCGTATATACCAGTAGGTTCAGTAGTGCACTTTCCTGTGCACCTGTCTTATGAAATAGATGTGCAAAGTTTTTATATACAATTTACAGTACCAAAAGTTTCACCTCTGACAGGGCAAACTGCCATTCAGTGGGTTAGGGTTTATGGAGTGGCACCTGGGGGGGCCAATCAGATTTCTCTGGGGGCCCATGCTACCCCTCTGGACACGCCCCTGGCTCTAATGTGATGTGTAAGGAGCAGCACCTTCTACTGACCGTGTGGTTTGCTTCCAGGTGGTGGTGGTTCTTTTGATCATCTTGGACGCCTTCTTCGTCCTGGCAGAGCTGCTGATCGATCTGTCTGTTATCAAGCTGGATCATGGACACATTGTTCCTGAAGTGAGTCCAGATCTGTCCCCTAACTCCACCAGGTATCATGGAGATGTTAATATGATTTACAGAGGAGGTGAATGTTTTGCAGGTGTTCCACTACCTGAGCCTCGCTCTCCTCACGTTCTTCATGGTGGAGCTGGCTGGTAAACTCTACGCTTTCCGCCTGGAGTTCTTTGAGCACAAGTTTGAGGTGTTTGATGGTATAGTGGTGGTGATTTCCTTCGTGTTGGATGTCGCCTTTGTCTTCCACGAGGATGCCTTTGACGGGATGGGACTCCTCATCCTACTGCGACTCTGGAGGGTGGCCAGAATCATCAACGGTCGGTAACAAGCATTAACAAGAAATATCTGGAGACAAATGTTGGTATTTTGAACCTGGGCCCTGTTTTCTAAAGTTAGGGTCCAAATGAGTGAGAGCGTTTTCACATCAAACCTGTTTGTCCAAGTCTGTTTGCCAAGTTAGTGCGGTTTGCTGACAATCAACTCCTTGATTTGGACAAAGACTCTGGTTTAGTCTTTGGGTGTTTTCGAAAACAACTAATGACTGTAGTCAAAGCAAACCACCTAATCGAGCTGTAGCTCACCTTAACTGTGCATTTAAACACACAGAGGACAGATTGAGGTCCAGTTATTGAGGCTGCATACCGAGGTGGTCTCAGACATACTTTTCCACATTTGGCAGTGTTAATTCAAGCTCTTGTACTCTAGGCTGTCTGCAAAAGCCTTGGAATTCACATACACATCCATGCTGAGCAGTATGTAACTCTGACACCTAGTGTTTAAAATGGGTACTGCAGTCCAAATTCTAAACATTGTAGGGAGCTGTCCCCCCCCAGAGAGTAAGATCACTTTATCATTTCACTCACTACAAATCTCACTGATTGGACCTTTAATGTTTACAGGCTGGTAAGCAGGGGGGTTCCTTTTAAATAAAAAAGTATCCATTTTGATTTGATTAAAGCTGCTTTAACTTTTTAAAATCTTCTAAGAAAGAAGCAGCATAGTTTTCCCACATGCTGTGCTGACTGTTCGGATGTGTTGCAGGTATCCTGGTTTCCGTGAAGACCCGAGCGCAACAGCAGATCCACAAGCTGAAGGAGAGCTACGACCACTTGGTTCAGAGAGTCACAGAGCTGCAGGAACGCGCCGACAAACTGGTGATGGTTTCCTGCTGCCTCACAGACACAGTTTCTCCCTGCTGCCCACTTTAACTAACCTGTGACATGTGGAACAGCTCATTTAAAGGGTTTTGTAGCTTTGAAATGAGACTGACTCTTGGTTTTGTGTTTCTGCAGGAAAAAGAAAACCAGAATCTTCAAGGTCTGCTGAAGAAACACGGAATCGACTCATCCATGTAACTGTGAAGGAGCTATACATACAAAATACTTTGATTAAGGCCTGATTGAAATACTCATACAACTAGTTTACAGACCTGTAACTCTTTAAATGTCACCTGTGGAGAAATCTTAAAGATTTTGATGAAGTTCTTACTGAGTGTCAGATATTCACATGCTGCTGGATCTTGCTGACATGGCCTCAATCTGCCTGTAAATATTTGAATCATTCCTCCGACTTATAAATTGTACATAAAAATAAATTTAAATATTTACATCTTATGCTTTGTCAAAATGAGATTTATAAAAATGAAGTGACTTCATTTGTTAAAAAAAACTTTTATTAAATAATCTTAGAAAAGTTGTATTTACATTATTCACAAAGTATACACACGGTGACAAGGGGTAAAGATGTTTTCAGACAAAAGGGAAGAAGAAGTCAAAGGGCAGTTTGGCGTTGATGGTGGGCGTGGCTCTGTAGCCATGTAGAGCAGGTGCAGACACAGGTGTGAAGCTCACCGAGGTGCTGAGTGACAGGACGCTGCTGCCTGCAGAGAGCAGGACCTAAGGGACAAACACGTCAAGTCACATGCAGGAAGAGTGCTGCTCCTTGAGAATCACTCCTTCAGCAATGTTTTTTTTAATGAAGTAACTGAGGAGAGACAGCATGAAACTCTCAAATTATGGGGGTCCAGAGCCTTCAGCCGCTCTGCCCCCTGCCTCTGGAACTCCTTCTCACCAGACATCTGTAACAACGACCCTCTCTCCAGTTTTACATCTCAAACTGACATATTCAGTCTGAACGGCCTTAAATTAAAAATGTAAAAACACACTAAATAAAGCCAATGAAAGCCCAGCTGCCACTCACGTTAGCTCTGCAGATGAATAGATTACGTACAACAGAGACTTGTAACACTTAAAGAAACATCATGAGACTCCTTTGGGCTGATGTGAAGCACTGAGCCAAAATTGAAGAACAAATGGTTACAGCTAAATATTAATAAATAAATATTAATCTGACAATCTGATAAGACGGACATACTGTGAGTGAGACAGCTCTACACAGCTGCTTTATATTTCTGTAAATGTGATTCTTACCAAACTGCTGCTGTTGGTTTGAATGATTTCTTTGACGTTCACAATCTGAGCCTGGGGGTTCACCAGGGATCCGTATTTGGTCCACTCGATTTCCAAATGAAGAGACAGCGGGATGCTGCAACTCTGAGCTTCCTGGAGAACAAACACACTGCTGTATTTCTGACTCTTTACACAAAGCACAAATATACATATAAACACAACTCAATGTGTTTTCCACTTTGGACAACGTACACCTTCACCAACACTACTGACATTGGAGCCATAAATCTGTTTTTTGTTGCTGTTTCTTTGTCTCTTTCTCTAAATCCATCGCTGTCTCTCAGCTGACAGCTGTTCAACATGAGTCTGGTTGTGCTCCAGATTTTTGCCCGTTAAAGGAATCTTTGGACATTAAATTCTAACTTCTGTAAATGTATCTGCCTTATATAAACTGTCGCTAATGAAAAGTTCATTTAAAAAAACAAACAAACAAGTGTTATACTTGTTTTGACTCCGCTAGATTGAGGATATGACCAAAGCTGTTTTCTGTCTGAACTCACCCCGGCGTTTAAGTTACTTTTGATGGGCACCCAGTCCAGTGGAGAGTCTAACGGGGAGTTTCCAAATGAAGCCACGTACTGCGGATAGTTTGGTCCTCTCAGAACGTCCAGGAGCACCTGATGGACCTGGGAGCAGTTTGCAGCATCCTCCAGCCTGCAGGGACGAGACAAGTCACCATCACACATTTATTTAGGACACACTGTGTCACACACTGTGTCACACACTGTGTTGTACACTGATCAGATGTGTTGAGTGTTAGGACGTCTTGCCTAAACGTGCAGCCGGACACATAGTCCAGACCGAACAGGACTGGGGAGCGCTGATGTCGTCCTCGCAGACAGTCCTGGTCCTGAGCGCTGTGGAGGAGAGACAGAGTGTCTCCGGGGTCGATGCTTCTGGTAATCCCAGTGAGGACAGCTGTTAAGGACTAATTATGAGACTTCTTATCAAACACTCTGATCCTCGTTACACCAGCTGAGGTCCAAATTAAAGTTCTAAAACAATAAAATTGTGAAATATTTCTCCAAAAAATGCAATTTAAAGAAACTGAGGACGTTTTTGTTTGTGTGGATTTTCTACAAAGTGACCAGAGGTGCTGACAGGAAGTGACCAGAGGCAGAGCACAACAACGACAGCTGTTTTAGTCAGAATCAAAACCATCCTTAATATCGACATCGTCATTATCGAACAAAACCATCATCATCATCACCATCATCGTCACCATCATCGTCATCATTGTCATTTAGGTTGTAGGTGTTCAACAACATGTATGAGTAACACAACAGTAGGAAACATAATTCAGATAACAGAGGGAGCACTTAAGAGTATATAGGTGAGAGGATCAGAGAATGCACTCACACATACACTCACACTACTCCTCACAGACTTTTAACAGGGAGCTGCTGGAAAAAGTCCTCAGATGTTTGGGAAAAACAAGCACCCATTGGACATTTTTTTTTTTTTTTTAACTTTTAACTGAAATGTTGTGGTTCTAAATGTCTGTAAACGAGGAGGAGCAGACTCAGAGCTCAGGCAGGTGAAGGATATACTGCTGTCTTCATTCCAGACACAAGAGGAAGTCCGAACACGTAACCCGGGTTTCCACTGTAGTGGACAGCAGCCGCCTCCTGATCCTCCTGTTTGCATAAGAAAAAGATCAGAAATCACTTTGAGACTGAACCATAACCCGCTGAGGTTTGTTACATTCAGGCCACCTTTACACAACAATGATCACGGATGAAAACAGAAACCTTTTGTTGTTGTTTTGGTTTGTTTACGCTACAAGTTATGGGTGCCTGAAAACAAAAAGGGTTTTAAAAAGGGTATCCAGAGGGCGGACTTTTGAAAACAGCACCGTTTCTGTTGCCATGTGAACCAGAAATAGGGCCTGGTGATATGAATAAAAATCATATTTGGATATTGTGGATCTATGGAAATACGACCTGAATAATAAATTATAATATTGAATAAAATACTGAAGACGGACGGAAAGAAGAAGAGCAGGAGGATGGACAGAGAGAGGTGGAAGAAGAGGGACGGATAGAGAGAGGTGGAGCAGGAAGAAGAGGGACGGATAGAGAGAGGTGGAAGAAAGAGGGACGGATAGAGAGAAGTGGAGCAGGAAGAAGAGGGACGGACAGAGAGAGGTGGAAGAAGAGGGACGGATAGAGAGAGGTGGAAGAAAGAGGGACGGATAGAGAGAGGTGGAAGAAGAGGGACGGATAGAGAGAGGTGGAGCAGGAAGAAGAGGGACGGACAGAGAGAGGTGGAAGAAGAGGGACGGATAGAGAGAGGTGGAAGAAAGAGGGACGGATAGAGAGAGGTGGAGCAGGAAGAAGAGGGACGGACAGAGAGAGGTGGAGCAGGAAGAAGAGGGACGGACAGAGAGAGGTGGAAGAAGAGGGACGGATAGAGAGAGGTGGAGCAGGAAGAAGAGGGACGGACAGAGAGAGGTGGAGCAGGAAGAAGAGGGATGGACAGAGAAAGGTGGAGCAGGAAGAAGAAGAGGGACGGACAGAGAGAGGTGGAGCAGGAAGAAGAAGAGGGACGGACAGAGAGAGGTGGAGCAGGAAGAAGAGGGACGGACAGAGCGAGGTGGAGCAGGAAGAAGAGGGATGGACAGAGAGAGGTGGAGCAGGAAGAAGAAGAGGGACGGACAGAGAGAGGTGGAGCAGGAAGAAGAAGAGGGACGGACAGAGAGAGGTGGAGCAGGAAGAAGAGGGACAGACAGAGAGAGGTGGACAGGAAGAAGAAGAGGGACGGACAGAGAGAGGTGGAGCAGGAAGAAGAGGGACGGACAGAGAGAGGTGGAAGAAGAGGGACGGACAGAGAGAGGTGGAGCAGGAAGAAGAAGAGGGACGGACAGAGAGAGGTGGAAGAAGAGGGACGGACAGAGAGAGGTGGAGCAGGAAGAAGAGGGACGGACAGAGAGAGGTGGAAGAAGAGGGACGGACAGAGAGAGGTGGAGCAGGAAGAAGAAGAGGGACGGACAGAAAATATTATAATAAATTATAATATTGAATAAAATACTGAAGACGGACGGAAAGAAGAAGAGCAGGAGGATGAGGGACGGACAGAGAGAGGTGGAAGAAGAGGGACGGATAGAGAGAGGTGGAGCAGGAAGAAGAGGGACGGACAGAGAGAGGTGGAAGAAGAGGGACGGATAGAGAGAGGTGGAAGAAGAGGGACGGATAGAGAGAGGTGGAGCAGGAAGAAGAGGGACGGATAGAGAGAGGTGGAAGAAGAGGGACGGATAGAGAGAGGTGGAGCAGGAAGAAGAGGGACAGACAGAGAGAGGTGGAGCAGGAAGAAGAGGGACAGACAGAGAGAGGTGGAGCAGGAAGAAGAGGGACGGACAGAGAGAGGTGGAGCAGGAAGAAGAAGAGGGACAGACAGAGAGAGGTGGAGCAGGAAGAAGAGGGACAGACAGAGAGAGGTGGAGCAGGAAGAAGAAGAGGGACAGACAGAGAGAGGTGGAGCAGGAAGAAGAGGGACAGACAGAGAGAGGTGGAGCAGGAAGAAGAAGAGGGACAGACAGAGAGAGGTGGAAGAAGAGGGACGGACAGAGAGAGGTGGAGCAGGAAGAAGAAGAGGGACAGACAGAGAGAGGTGGAGCAGGAAGAAGAAGAGGGACGGACAGAGAGAGGTGGAGCAGGAAGAAGAAGAGGGACAGACAGAGAGAGGTGGAGCAGGAAGAAGAGGGACGAACAGAGAGAGGTGGAGCAGGAAGAAGAGGGATGGACAGAGAGAGGTGGAAGAAGAGGGACGGACAGAGAGAGGTGGAGCAGGAAGAAGAAGAGGGACAGACAGAGAGAGGTGGAGCAGGAAGAAGAAGAGGGACGGACAGAGAGAGGTGGAGCAGGAAGAAGAAGAGGGACAGACAGAGAGAGGTGGAGCAGGAAGAAGAAGAGGGACGGACAGAGAGAGGTGGAGCAGGAAGAAGAGGGACGAACAGAGAGAGGTGGAGCAGGAAGAAGAGGGATGGACAGAGTCGAGGGTTAAGTCATCTTCGATGGTAAAGACTGATTCTACTTTGAGGAGATAATCTGAGCACCACCTTGGACTATGAAGGTGTTTTCAGACATTACCTGGACAAATGTGATGTGAAACTCCTGCTTCAGGGTCGATGCTGCTTCATTAACAAATCCAAGCACCAGAGACACCGTCACATTCAGGATCTCACCAGCTGGATTGTACGTCATCGTATAAACGACCTGAGGAGACAAAAAAGGACTCACTGATCCAGCCTAACAGGATTCTGCAGGAGTCTTTGGTTACTTTAATGGCTGTATTTGAATTAAACTGGATTTAGAAAGTCATGTGTTTGACTTACCTTCAGCACCACATGAGCACAGAGGGTCGGCTTCAGGAGAACTGGCTTGAGGTTTACAGCACCACTGATCTGAAGCTCAGACTGAGTCCCATCCACAGACTGCAGGACGACTGACGCCACCTCCACAGGAACAACCTCCAGCCACACCACAAACACCACAAGTCAGCTCATACTGAAATTAACCTCACACGTGTCATAGCTGTTCTCGTTTGCATCCCTTTGCAGAGTTAGTTTGTAGATTTTTAGTTTCCTCTGATTTCTCCTCCCTCCTGACTTAAACATCTCCAGAATTACAACACACATGATCATGAAATGTTGAGCACACATTCATGTTTATTTCTAAAAAAAACTTTTGTGATGGCTTGACTTTTCATTTTGCAAATCATCATGTCAAAACAAAAGTCTAATACTTAAGCTCATACAAACAAAATACAGACAAAACTGATGACACTCCAATCAGCTGCAGCTGCTCCTTATGTAAAGTGCTTGTTAGCAAAAATGCTAACATGTTAATATGCTAGACTGTGAACATAATAAAGTTGTACCCACCAACCTCAGAATGTTTCGTCTTTGTGTGCATTTAGCATGATGTTGAAGAATGTTTAAGAAAGTATTTTAAAAAAAAGAAATGTAAGAATAGAGATGCCCCGATCCACTTTTTTTCAGTTCCGATACAAATGTGTCGATACTGATTACCATGTTTTTTTCATCATAATAAATAGTTTTGTTGTTGTTGGTATTATCTGTAAGTCTACACAAAGCTGGAGTAAACCCGGAATTGCTTTGCATTGTGCTGGCTTCACAAACAAACGGTCAGCAGGAACAACTGTCAGGTTTTCAGGTTCAACATTTTAAACTAAGAATTGTACTTTATAATCACATAGAAGGAGCTGTTCCATCTCGTCTGAACGTCTTGAAGTTGTCAATTTAAGGGCGTTTTGTCAGTTCAGTCTGAACGTTTAAATTTTTTAACTTTTCAAATTAAAATTTTCAAATTTTAATTTAATTTTTCATGTATTTATTTTTATTTTTGTTTGTTTTCTCGCTACTTCCCACTAAGTTCCGCACTTTAATGCATTACGCTGCCATGAACACATTCACACCTTTCTAACACACCTGAACATAAAAAGCATTGCTTAACTTTCATGTCATTTAAATGTATTTGTCTCTATTGTTGCTCTGTATCTTTGCTTATGTTTTGCTATTTTGTACCTATTTTGTCTGTTTTATTTATTTTTTGTCTTTGTCTATTTGTTCTCGCTTTAGTTGTCATGTCTATGTCATGTCTATATATTCTTGTTTCATTTTGTTCACCTTATCACCAATTAAAAAAATACAATTGAAAATAAAATTAAAATAAAAAGTTCAGTCTGAACGTCTTTAAAGCAAGAGTGTTTGAGCAGAGAATGTTTAAAGTGTCCATTTATTTCTTTGATCGGTGACGTGGATCTGCGCCATCAGTCCGATAATACGAGACGTACATTAAGTCAATATGTAAGCCGATACTGATATTCGGTTATGTGCCATCTCTATTTAGGAATGAAAAGGATGTAATCATCATGCTGTTCATGTATTGGACCCTCAATGGGATCACGTTATCTTTTACAGATATGTTGTGATCAAAGGAGTGATAACGTCCCTTTTAGTCAGAAATGTTTAAATAACATAAATGTTGAATCAGGCTTCACGTTCCTGCCTGTTGAAGTTCTTACCAAACTAAACATTAGAAAACATTTAGAACACATCATGGTTAGGTGTGATGAAACAGTGCAGTGATGTAAAGCTCAGCTGCTGTAGTAACTGAGTCCTTCCCTCTTCTTAAGAACTGAAACATCCTTTTCCTGTCTTTGCATTGCAGCAGTCAACTTCATCTTTCGGCCTGTTACCTTGTTGCACAGTGTCGTCAGGTGGAAAGACTTATTTCTCCTTTCCTGTCTAGTGTTTGCGCAAAAGAAGTCAGCATCTTGCTAAATGTTTTCAGTAGTTAGAGACCGTGATGACCAGTCAAAGTTATGAAAACAAACTTCAGAGCGGCTCCGTAACCACTCCAAAAACTCACATCTAAGAAAGTGTGTGTTTGTCTCATCTCTCGTCAAGAATGTCTCATTACACTTTAAGACACATTGTAAAAAAAGACCTGCATTGCTCGTAATTTGTAACAAAACAACTTTTTCACTTATAATTATAAAAGCAGGCCTTATTTTTTATTTTGATGTCTTGAGATAAGTTGTTTTTCTGGACTTGTCAGGAGAATGAGATCTTTTAAATAAGTTTTTGACACTTGCTTAGATTTGAGATTTTACAGTGTGTGAAGACAGTGACTACTACGAATGCCCCCGGAGAAGTCCTCACATCAGAGTACAAAACTGAGCCGGAGAAGACTCAAACTAAGTGGAATGTTATTCTACAGGCTGTTTGACTGTGAGTCAGAAGTGTATTAAAGTGTTTATTGTTGGATCTGCCTGTGTGGGGCTTTGTGTTCTCTTTCTTGTTTGTGCGTCTGTCTCTGCGCTGCAGGTGACCGCCCTCGACTGGGTTAAAGCTGACGCTGCGTGCCGTCCACTGATTGGACAAAAGCTTGAGCTGCATGCCTGCGCCTTATTTGGAGGAGAGCCGAAGGCGCGAGCTGCGAAAACTGGAACGTGGCCCTACCCCTTCCTCACCTCCAAAGAGAGACGTGTTCGCTCTGTGAGATAGAGAAACTGTGTGTCTTGTTTAAATTGAGATAATTGTTATTACGTTGTGCAGTTCTGGTTATGTTTTCTGTTAGGGAGTAAGGTAGTTTTTTTTTTTTTTGACTTAGATGTTTTGTTTGTTGTTTTTGCCGGTGCTCTCACTGAACTTTAATTCGTTTTGTGAAGAAATATTGTGGCTCGGAAATTGGATTTATTGTGGTTAATCATTAGGAGGAGGGAGAGGGTCACTTTTAAGATACGGCTGGTTTCCCCTAGGCTGGTTGTAACTCAGGGTTTCTGATTTCTTTAATACTAAATTGAAGAGTTTTGAAGAACCAGACAAATAAAACACTTCATGTGGGACTCAACAGCTTTGACTGCCATCGTCTGTCTCAGGTCTAAAAACAATGTTTTGGCATATTGTGCAGGTCGCCTCATAATCGTTGTTTGACCCTGTTAACTACTCACTGATATTTTATCTTAACTTGTTTTTCCTCATCTTCTCCTTCTCTCTTCTGTTCACGGTTTGTGAATGTGTATGAAATATGTTTCTGTAAATGTCACTTGATCAAGTATATCCCTAAAAAAAGAGAAACTATCTCGAGTGTCAATTTGAGAAAGTATTCAAACATGTGTCAAAGAGCCATCCAAAATAAAGACCTAAAACTTTTTTTGACTTATAATTTTAAAAATCTAACTTAAAACTTTAAAGACTCTTTAAGGACTTGCAGTAACATGTACATATTTGAAATGTGTATCTGTGGTGATCTCTTATATCACACCAAGTTTTCTGAATGATCTATTTTTTTTTTAAATAATTAACTTATTTAAAAGTGTCAGAACAAAATGTCTGTTAGTTTCAACAAAGCCACAAACAAATATCTAAACTCTGACACCTAGTGTTTGAAATGGGTACTACAGTCCATAATTTTTAAAAACGTTAGAGAGAGCCGTCTCCTCCCTAGTTTTGATGTGCTCCCGAGGTTCCAATATTGATCCTAGTTTGAGCACGTTTCTGCTCGTGGAGCTTATTAGAAACATGCAGAGGCTTTTTAGGTCGGGTACAATCACTTCTATCTGAACCACTTCTCTTGACCGCTTCTATTGCTGCAACACCTGTTGGTTTGACCTGATAACTGCTCTCATATCTGACAATCTGAGGGTCGTCCAAAACGGCCATGTGGGGGTGCCTTAAAAGCACCTATCTTCTCTGGTCCAAACAAATCCAGAGCATTCAGGAGCAGAATCTAAAGTTAGAAGGAGGACATACTGGCTGCTGCATTGTTGTCAGAGAAGCCAGCACTTCAACATAACATGTTTCCTTAATGTCTGATCAGATAGTAAGATACCTTTATCATTTCATTCACTACACATCTCACTGATTGGACCTTTAAGTGTTCAGTATTTAATCACTGATCACTGAGATGAACACAAATGATAAATTCAAAGTCAAAACTGTCGTCATGTCATTTCTGTAGCAGAGTCAAAGACAAAAACAGTGGACATACTTACTGCTGCGTCTTTACTTTTCCCCTGTGGAGTGAAAGAAAGACGTCATCATTAAATGTTTTCCTCATTTTAAAAATAAAAGCTTATTTATGGTGTGAAACTTGTGTGTAAATGTCCCAACACAAACACCCTCCATCCATCTGAAATATTACATTTAGACATTTCTGTTTTGAAAGCTGAAAAACAATTCAGATCACCTGGTTGACAAAGTAAGATCTAAAAATAGTATTCAGCTGTTAAAAAGCGTTCCAGGTTAATTCTTCTGATTATATCCTGCTGCATTCTAACCTCAGCTCACTCTGACTTGCTGCAGAATAAATAAAACTTTGTCTTGTTTGCATTCACACATCCAGCTGCTCCAGGAAATATCATTTTCAGGAGTTTTTCAGGAGTTTTCCACTAAGCCCTCATAGTGGATTGTTTTGAGTGTTTAGTCCTGTGTGTGGAGGACCTGTGAGACTCACAGATAACAGTTGGATGTTGGTGTAGGTTTCCATACTGAGGACTGGCAGACCGCCGCAGTCCTGATCCAGAACCACCTTCCGGGAACACCGACTGCTGTGATCCTTAAGAAACGCTGGGGAGACAAACACTCACTTTATAAATATATTCTATATTAACAGGTCTTTAGATGCTCCTCAAACAGATCCTGAGCGTTTTTAAAAAGACGTGGATCATTTTTATTAATCACAGTAGATAGAGTGAAATGATGTCTTGATAATTACTTTATAGTAATGACACATTTCTTCACCACTCTCCTGAAGGTTTGCTGTACAGCCTGGATGTTAAACACCGTAATTCACTTTTACAGCAGTTGCACTTTGCACCATGTTTTTTGTAGTTTTTATGCGTCCTGACAGCAGTCAGTCAGGTGATCATGAGTAACCTCGGCAGCTCCCTTCAATAATATGTATTCTTAAACTGACTTTTATTATCACAGAGAGAAAAATTATAACAACGATCACAGCGGTCGTGGGCAGACAGGCAGTGCACTGTGCAGCAGTTACAGTATATAAGGGATTCCAGGCTGGATGGGATACAGAATCCCTCCAGCATATTCAGGGTCTGCCTCAGGGTCTCCTCCCAGCTGGGCGTGCCCCAAGTCCAAGATGTATGTGGAATAATTTATAACAAAAAGAATATAGAATAATACCTGCAGGACTGTTCTGCACACAGTCAGCTGTAACTCCAGGAGCTGGCAGCATGAACATCCCTCTCTGTCCACTCTGTGCTTCTGTCCCCATCACGTCTCCGTACTGAAACCACCAAAGCATCAGAACAGATAAAATGACTTATCTTAACAGAAGTTCAGTTATAATTACTCAGTTTTGAGACTCACCTGGTATCCAGACGAGTCCTGGAGCTCTGCAGCTGACGGCTCGCCCCTGTCCTCCTCGGAGTCGAAAACAAAGCTGGTGAATGTTTTAAACAGTGAGTCAAAGTTTCTGTCTGTTGGAAGAGCAGGTGAGGGATGAGAGAAACCATCCACCCCTAGAAAGGAAAAAGGAGGAACAAGAAAGATCTCATGCATTAGTTTTCTGTTGATTGTGGCAGTGAGAAAAACAACATTTCAATGTTGAGTTAAATACCATAAAGACTCACGGTTCTGTGACTGAATGCACAAAATGTCGTAACTATTCTCCTTCCTGACAGACGAATACACTTCTGAGAATCCATCGATGGTATTCAGTAAAGAGTATGACGCTACATCACGGCTGCACAGCTGATTGTTCCCACTGCAAGAAGAGAACATGACAACAAACATATGTTGTGTAAATATACAGATACACTATATACTCATGAAAACATTCTTTTTTACTCCACAGGCTGAAAAACAAGGTTTAATAATGGACAAGTCAATTATCAGATGATTTATTCCCTCAGTTTATGATCTTAATCTCTAGTTTTACATCTTCATCAACACACACTAAACAACAACAACAGGAAAACAATTACAGGACAGCAAAACAACAAACACACACAAAAATACACAACAAGCTCAACCTCAGTAATTCATAATCCTTCCACTTGATTAAAACATATCAATGTGTGTGACATCAGAGCGTGATTTTATAATGCGTATTGCAAGCAGCAGGACACACACACACAGCGCTGGCTCCAACGTTGTACTTTACAAACAGTTTTTCTGAGTTGTTTGTATTGGTCGTTAATCAAACTAAAATGTTATGTACATGATAGTTTCCGCTTCTTAAAAGTGAGGATTTCCAGCGTTTCGTTGTCATTTATAAAAGTTAACAAACACTCTGACATCTTGTTGTCTGACTTCGACTTAATTGGCCCCAAGGAAAATGTCCTTTTGCAGCCAGGTGAAAACAAGAAACATAGAAACACAGGCCCACAGACTCAGACAGTAGAAACATAAAACTCATATATATTAAATATATAAATACTAGAGTTGATCAGGTGACAACTGGAAACTGACAATATATAAAAAGGTTTATAAAAATGTTGTTTCAAACAAAATAAAGTCATCAGTCATCATTGGAGTTCAGTCATTTGATGACCTGAGTAACATTTCTCAACCTGTTGGACTTTGCTTCAGTGATCTGTATCTCCAGCCTGAGGGCAGAAGCTCAAACTCATCAGACAGAGGATATCCAGGACTCTGTAAGATGTCTTGAGCCTTAGCAGCTCTTACTGACGCTGAGAGCCGCAGATAAAAAGTCTCATTTTAAAAGAAGTTTCTTTACACTCTTGGAAATAGGGACTAACGTTGTTGATATTTAATGACGTTGTAGAAACAGTATTAATGATAAGTTAAGAGTGAACATAAAGGTGAGATGAATTAACAAAGACAATAATCAGAAGTTTCAGCTACACTTACCCAACAGTCTCCACTGAGCAGCTGGTGAACAGAGCCACCTCCTCACTGCAGTCTCTGTCACAGCAGCAGCTGATGTCACACACCTCCATGTGTTCATCACAGGGACACAACCTGCCAACTGAACACACACACACACACACACACACACACACACACACACACACACACACACACACACACACACACACACACACACACACACACACACACACACACACACACACACACACACACACACACACACACACACACACACACACACACACACACACACACACACACACAGTCTCGATGAATGATGAGGATATTAACTGGCTAGCTTTTAATGTATTAATATTAATAATAACATATAATTAAATGTACATAGAGACAGATTACCATTGGAGACAGGAGTTATCAGGCGGCCGGAGACGGGCAGGGGCTCCGGGGGCTCCGGGGGCTCCAGGGGCTCCGGGGGCTCCGGGGGCTCCTCGGTGCTGCCGGGTGTCGGTGTCGATGTCGGTGACTCAAACTCCTCCGGTTGTGTCGTTGTATAATTTTCAGCAGCTTCATTTGTTAAGTTCCCGTCAACAAACGCGGTTGTGTTGAAACTGAAGCTCGTCGTGTTTTCGTTAGAAGTGACGACAGAAAACAAGAAAAAGAAACTTAAAACATTTGTTCCATGAAACGAAGCAACTGACGCAGCCATCTTTGTTAAACCGTTGCTATGGTTCTTCTTCTTCGGTTCTTCTTACTACCTGTAATGAAACAACACCGCCACCTGCTGTCCATAGTAGGAATTACTCCAGTTTAGATTTTGTGGGTCCCAGGATTAAGGACCTGAAAGTGCACATAATGTTGGCTTTTGAAGGTAAAACTCGGTTTTATTTGTCCAAGTTTACAACACAGATCCTCCTGCCACCCTGAAAAAAAACAAGTGTCTGCTGAAATCTGTTTAGTTTTAAAACCACATAGCCTAACATGTCTTTTTAGAAATATTGTCAATTATAAATCACTTTTGTACAGAGGAGGACTAGTGCCAGACATTAGACATGAGAAGAGTCAGATTATATATATAATATTGCACTTGGTGAAAAAATCTGCAATTTGTTGTTTATTTTCTTCAGCTCTCTGAGCTTTTTGTAGCTAATCTCTTTAATAATCTGCACTTTATAGCTTTATTTCTTCAACCCTCTTTCTTGTTTTACTTAATGAATTTCTCTTATTTAAATTTTCTTATTTCCCATTATTTATATATTTATATTCCTATATTTCTACTGATTTATTGAGTATAGGAGCAGCTTTTTACCCCCTCTGGGAAAAATAAAGTATTTCTGATTCTGAAAGTCAACAAAAACAAAGAAAAAGACCTACAACTTGAATACTAGACGATACAGAAAAACAAGAGAAAACAACAACAACAACAAAACAACAACAAACACATCTAAGCCACACAGAAAAAGACAACCACAAGCTCACCGTTAACATTTTCATAATTCATCAATATAAGTAAATAATCCTCTGTATATCTCATGAAGAAACATAAATACTAATCCAAGTACTCACAATTTCTTTCACCAGCTTAAAATGATCTTTTGATCATTTTGTTTCATGTCTTTTCTTGATGACATTTCAAGTCCATCCATCAAATCAACAAAACCTGGAGCTCGGATCAGGAAACACCAAAAAGAAAGGCTGGTGTATTTGGATTTTTTTTACGAGGTAAGTGCTGGTTTAACTTTTCCCCATGTGTTTTTATCTTTTCCATGTTTAAATAATAAAACAGTTAATTTTGACAGAGTTTAAGTGGAGGAGGGGATTTCCTTTCACCATGTTTTTAAATGAGTTTATGAAAAGTAGCCTAATTGAGAAAACACAGCCTTATGGATATACTGAAGGTTATTATTTAAAGTATCTTGGAAAATGCAAACTGACTTTTCATTATGCTCTAATTCAAACCAAACTTTCTGGACTTTACTACCAGATTGTATTCCAAGGGAGGAACAATTGGGCCCCGAGTTATTATGTCTGTTTAAGTTTGTGTAATGCATCCACTAGGTGGCAGCACAGGACAATGAAACACAAGTGCACTGCTTTAATATGCTTTCAGTTTGCGCCCAGCTTCAGACATCTTTTGGTGTCACTTATAAACACTTCCCTATCGCAATTTAAAGAGCGAAATTCATATTATTCTTATTATTAATGCATATAAGTTATGCCATTGTGCCATTTGTGGGGTAGTTTGGAGAGGGGTTTTTTTTTGGACATAAATAATTTCATCATGATACGGGTTTTTGGGCTTTTTACTCCTGTATTTAAAGACAGGACAGGAC